CAGTAAAAAAAGAGAAAATGTTATATGTTTCATCAAACCTTTTATTATCGCTCACTTTTAAGCACAGTAATTAAAGTGAAGAGTCTTTATAACCAGTATAAGAAATATATTGCTTGCCTCTTCATCCCCCTGAAAGAAAGAATTTGCACTGAACCTTCAAAACAGCAGAAGATAATCTGGTATATTGCTCATAGAATTAAGGAGCAGGCAGTACAAGCAATGAAAACTAGATTTAAATAACTTTTGGAGAACTTCAAAATATGTCATTTTTAGCATTCAGTCTTAATAGTGCTCGGAACAATAAATAATTGGGAAATTTCGGAAAAAGAAGGAGGAGGACTGAAAAGACACCCACAGATGCCTAAACCCACTTACATGTTTAGAAGCAGATACCCAGAAATGGAAAAGAAGGGTATGAAGGCTGGAATATATGATGGTACACTCTAAATGTATTATGTGTTTGGAATAGCTGAATTATTCCTAACTGATAAAGCTGTACACATGGTATCATATTTAAGGACTGGCTGAAATCTTTCTGCTGTAGCACACCACAACGTATTAGAATATACACTTTCAGAAGCAACTAGGTCATTTACAACAATCAGTTCCATCTTCAATTTTAAAAAGTACTGCTGCCTTTCCAGGCACAGGGCTCCCACGTAACTGATTTCTCCAAAACAGCACAGTTCCTGGTTGCGTGGGTACTTCTTAATATTTTAAGTTAAATCTCCAATTGAAGAAATGAAAATCTGTCTTTCAAAATTCAAATAAATGACTCTTTCATCTATGAATTGGATAGGTTTAGAGCAAATTATTAAGAAAATTCTAATCCAATGCTGTCCTCTATTTGCTGGTGAGAACTGAGATTTGGATCTTTAATCGTGAATAGTTATGTGTGGGGTAGTGAGGACTGGAAAAAGACAACACTTTGCTTAAATGGATCATGGATCACTTCTGTGAATTATGTTATCTATTATTACTAAGTTACCTCAGGCCAGGAATAGGCATGTATTAATTTTTTTAAAATCTGGAATAAATAAATAGTAATCTAGCCTCTCTGAAATTTACCTTAAAAGAGAAAATGGATATGTTATCTCAGCTTTTATTACGTTCAGGAAAATTTATACCTAGCTTTACCTTTCTCCTCCATCCTCCTCTTCTCATAACAATCTTTACTTCCGAGTCTTAGTATACTGCAAACTATCAGAGTCCAGTGGTGGTAATAGATTTGAATGCACTGACACAGGCAAACACAAGGAAGTGCAAAGCTGGGGAAGTTCCATAGTTACGAGGAAAACAAGTTACAGGTAGTCAGAGGTTCAGAAAGTCAACAATCAGTTCAGCAGAAATGAATCAATGGTCAGAGTATGGTTGTTACAAAAAATCAGTACAAACTTCTCACTTGTAATAAGGAGTTTTTATGGCTTGAAGAATTCCTTGATTCCCTGACATTTAGGGAGGCATCTGTCAGATCTACAATCATGTACTTCTGAGCACTGCCTTCTCGAGCACTACTTTTAGTCTATGGAAAGAAGTAGGTACTTTCATGGCATTTCATCCTAAAGTTGTTGTCTGATGACAACAAGTACTAGGGAGCTCAGGGTCACAGACACGGGCCTGCATTCCTAGAGATCCAAAGTATTGTAACTTTCAGAAATCTATAATCTAGGCATGGGGGACAAGGAATGAGCATAAAGAATATATGCAAACTGGTTGGTTATCTCAATCAGAACATCGTGAGTCGATACAGTCTTTAAGAAACAATCTAGCAATGTGTCATAGGTCAAAAAGAGCAGAGACAAAGAACGTACAGGGCCAATATGCAGTTAAAATGCTGTCAAATTTTAAAATAATCTAGGAATGATTCCAACATAAGGTGAAAGTTTATCCTCATTTTATCCTTATTTTCTGAAAGATGGTGATCTTGAACAGGAAGACAACTGAGGATGGCAATCAGAAGTAATGATATAGAATATATCTCAACCAGAGGAAGAACATTTTGAAGAACTCAGGCTGGAATGGTCAGAAAACTGCCATTCTAGAAAAATGAAAGATCTGGTGCACAGCATTGAAATCCAGAAGGAGACCATTTGACTGAGAACAATCAAATGTAGTGCCTGTTTTGAAGAAACAGGAATTCCATTAAGGCCTGAGAACTTGCTTTGGAAGTAAGTGGAAAACAGGTTGTGGAATAAATGATGTTTTTATTTTTTTTTCCAAAGGTAGCACATGTGATACCATATATTTTAATAGCAAATCCAGTTGAATATTTTCATTAATGATCGTGGGGGAGGCAGGGGAAAGGAAGTCTGCTGAGAAAATATGCTTATGAGGAAAAGTTGTGGAACAATCTTAGTCGAGAAGGATTGGAATGCTGTGCAGAAAGAACTGAGTGACCTTAAAAACTGAAGTAGTCAGACTGGAATGAGATTCAGTAGTAAAAAATATCAGGTTGTGAACTAAATAACAACAGAAATTTCAGCTGTAAACTATGTCTTTGCAAGTTGGATATAAGGTATGGATGAGAAGAACATAGCTATATTATGAATCTCCAATGGCACCCAGATGTGAAAAAAAGGAAATGCTATTGCAGAATCTATTAGGAAAGCTGACATAGGCAGGTTTTACTGCTACTGAATTGCAATACACTGTAGCAACCTCATTTCAATGCTTGTTACCTGTGCTCAGCAAAGATGAACCTAATATTGAACAGAGGAAGGGAAATTACCGGTACTACTTGATATCTTCTTCAATGACATAGACAGTGGGATCCAGTGCACCCTCAGCAAGTTTGTAGATGACTCCAAGCTGAGTGGTGTGGTCAACATTCTGGAGGGCAGGGATGCCATCCAGAAGGAACTGGATAAGCTTGAGAAGTGGACCTGTGTGAACTTCATGAAGTTCAACAAGGCCAAGTGCTAGGTGCTGCACATGGGTCAGGGCAAGTCCCACTATCAATACAGGCTGGAGGATGAAGGGATTGAGAGCACCCCTGAGGACAAGAACTTGGGGGTACTGGTGGATGAAAAGCTGGACATGAGCTACCAATGTGTGCTCACAGCCCATAAAGGCAACCGTATCCTGGGCTGCACAAAAGCAGCGTGGCCAGCAGGTCGAGCGAGGTGATTCTGCCTCTCTACTCTGCTCTGGTGAGATCCCACCTGGGTGCCTGCCTCCAGCTCTGGTGCACTCAGCACACAATAGACATGGATCTGTTGGAGCGGGTCCAGAGGAGGCCACAAAAATGATCAGAGGGCTGGAACACCTCTCCTATAGGGAAAGGCTGAGAAAGTTGGTGCTGTTCAGCCTGGAGAAGAGAAGGCTCCAAAGAGGCCTTGTAACAGCCTTCCAGTACTTAAAAGGGGCTTATAAGAAAGATGAGGACAGGCCTTTTAGCAGGGCGTGTTGTGACAGGACAAGGGGTAATGGTTTTAAACTAAGGGAAGGTAGATTTAGACTGGATATAAGGATGAAATTTTTTACAATGAGGGCAGTTAAACACAGGAGTGTGTTTCCCAGAGAGGTGGCAGATGCCCCATCCCTGGAAACATTCAAGGTCAGGTTGGATGGGGCTCTGAGCAACCTGATCTACTGGAAGATGTCCCTGCTCATTGCAGAGGGGGTTAAACTAGATGGCCTTAAAAGTCCCTTCCAGCGGAAACCATTGTATGCTTCTATGATTCCATAAATTATAAGAAGGTGAGCAGGAGCCAAAGTAAAGACTTTAAGGTGTTTTATGCTGGAAAAAAGGGGCTATGATTCCTCTTTACAAAGATAATTGGGGGTGGGAGAAGGAGGACAAGCACGAGGGAGAGGAAAAAAACTTAGAACTAAAGAACAAAGGTGGCAAAAGAACACATGATGATAACCTAAACATTAATATTTTTAGCTAGAAATTAGAAGGTCAGTAGTTATGCAGAGTCCTGAAACTGCCTCCTATTCAGATCGTGTGTATTTTGCGGGAACTACTTTGAAGATGATAGTTAGAAAGTTTGTGATAGCAGGGGAGTGGATGCAGCAACCCAGCAGGTAACTTTCAGTCCTGTGCTCCTATATTTCATCTATTCTTAAAATGTTAACTTGGCTACTAGGCAAACACATTGATTTTGAAGTCTTTGTCTACTTCTAAGATACCGCATAAAGTTATTTCACCCCCTCAATGTCTTCTAACTCTGTACTTCCTATTGCTAAACCTGCTTGAGGAAATTTTTGTTTGGGTTACAAACACAGGGCATAAATTTTGTGGAACAAAAATTGGTTTAGCCCTTGTCATCCCCAATTCAACTTGAAATATGAAGAACCTGGTCTTTTGTTTAAAAAACTTGAAAACTTGCTTACTTTTTCTTGTTGCTCTCCCCACGTTTATTTCATGACAAAGCTGCGTGTCCTAAATTGCTGTTCATTTCAGCTACAGGGCATGTACTGGGATGTGTTACATGAAAGGCAATATAAAATGCATTTTATAGCACTTTGTCAAAAGTGAAAGCTTTCCCTTTCAATGAAATGGACCTTCAAAAGCATAACTACTGAAATCAGTACTATAGTGGGAGTTTTGAGGAAGAAAGAACAGATCATTCAACTAAAAATCCTGCCTGTGATTGCCAATCATTTTCATATTTTTCAGACATTACCTTACTTAATAGCTTCATGCAATATACAGGTCTTACTTCTCAAAGCTATCTGCAATACTTTTGCTTCTAAGTCTTTACTGCTTTTGTCAGTGCAGTGAATCATGTGGAAGAGAGCTGGCTGCACGTCACTATTTAGGTAGGGTTAGGAGTCACTTGCAGATTCCAGGCAGCAGATGTTCATTAACAGCAAGCAGTAATGCATTTCTGAAGTAATTTTGGGGAATTAAGATGCAGTGCTAAAATTATATCAAGCTTTTTTACCAATGCATTTTTTAACTGCTGTGACAATAAACAAAAGTAAGCCCTGTTAGTTACTTCATGATAGTAGCTTTTCTTCAAATAACTGCAAAAATCCTGAAGGAACGTACTCAATATTCTGCTAGTCTTTGTTCATGACCAGTGCACTGTTTATATAAGCTGCATCTGTAGATTGCAAAAAGCCTGAAGATAGTTGACCATAATTTCTTCACTCCACATTTAAAGCATGTGACATTTCTCACTAAAGAAACTCTTCCTCACTGTCTCTCAGACCCCCTCTTCCCCTCCGTCTTTCTGAGAAAAAATTGGCATATTTTGATTTTTCCAATACCTTCTGCAGATTGGAGAATGCCTTTGATGAACAGTCCAAGAGATTTTGCTCTGTCATTAGTCCTCTCAGCATCCTGCCTGGTTTGTTCACCATCTGCTGTCACCTTGGTAGCCTAATGATCCAAATTCAGGAAAAGTATAATTAATAAACAGAATAAAGCTACACTATGTGATATTCCTACTGGCTGAATCTATGTACAAAACTTTCCTCAGGCAAAAGGCAATCAATGAATTATTGATCAAATGCACTGGAAATGACATGCTCTGTTCAAGTACACAATTAAATTTTATTACCTTTTCCTTTAAATGGAAACTGGAAGGCTTCATTTAATGTTCTTAGAAATCCTAGTTGTGTGCAACAGCACACAAAAGGAGACAGGATGAAATTTTTCACTGAATTTGCTTAAAAAAACATTGTTTGGAACCTTTTAATAGATTCTTCAGGGAATACTTTCCATAGTTCCACAGTTGTGCACTTTTCAATGGACAAAGTGCAGCAGATAGCATGACCTCTTTGCTTCTTCCCTGGGGGCATTGTCAAAGAGACAGTTCATGCCAACAAGCAAGAAGAAATTTAAATCAATACATTAATTAAAGCAAAAAAGAGAGAGAGAAAAAGTTGTTTTTTTCAGGTCTAATGCTTGCAGTTGTTTGTTTATAACATATTGGGGTGCTCAGTAAAATTTTGGCTTTGCTTTATAATTTTATTGAATCACAGCAGCAGGATGAAGACAAACGTCTGCTGAAGACCTGAAAAACATCCTAAGGAAAGGAATTGTCTTAAGACATTCTGCTTAGCTCTCAAAGTCCCTATTTACAAAAATGTACCCATTTTTTATACAAAGCAGCTGACCATTTCAAGGAAGAAATCTTGTCAAACTGTACTGTAAAGCAAAAAAAAACCCCAGATTTTTTCTTTGGGGACTGCATTGCCAAGAAGTGTCTCAAAGCAGGGCATTACGATCTTTCTAGTCTTTGGGAAACAGCTAGAAGGTCAATAACTAAAAATGAGCTTAGATTTTCTCTGATTTGTGCTGCACAAACCATTGCTCAGTTACACACCCCCCCCCATTTCAATAATAGTCAAAGAGAAACAGTATCACTTTAACACATCTATTTTTGCCTAATTATCTTCTAGATTGAAACCCTGAAGATACATCAGGACAGCTGGGTTTCTGAAATGAAATCCCTGGCATTATCATACCACTTACAGTTTTGGTCTATTTCAGAGTAGGTACTCTGAAAGTAATTTAGATGAAAATGGTTCAGGTAAATAGAATTATACAGGAAGAATTAAGAACCCCCACTGACTGGGGGAAGCTGATTCTATTTCATCCCTATATGAGCAGAAGAACACAGCTTTTCACATATATCCAGCTTCAATCATGCTACTGGTTACTTCCTGTAAGATTTACAAAACCCCTTTACCTGCCTGCATACAGAGGCCCGGGTTAGGGATGTTGCTAAGAAACTCCCTGGTCTGGTGCAGCCTTCTGATTACTACCCCCTCTTGGTAATGCAGGTTGGCGGGGACGAGATAGCAGAAAGAAGTCCCAAGGCCATCAAAAGGGACTTCAGGGCACTGGGGCGACTGGTTGAGGGATCAGGGGCGCAGGTGGTGTTTTCCTCCATCCCATCAGTGGCAGGGGACAGCACTGAAAGGGGCAGGAAAACTCACCTGGTTAACAGGTGGCTCAGGGACTGGTGCCATCAGTCAAATTTTGGCTTCTTTGATCATGGGGAGGTGTACACAGCACCGGGCCTGCTGGCAACAAGTGGAGCTCAGCTATCACAAAGGGGGAAAAGAATTCTTGGCCACGAGCTGGCGGGGCTCATTGAGAGGGCTTTAAACTAGGTTCGAAGGGGGAAGGGGATATTGCCCAGCTCACTAGGGATGAGCCTAGGCTTGGAGTGCCAAGGCCAGGGGTGAGATTGACAGCCCAGCTCAAGTGTGTTTACACCAATGCACGTAGTATGGCCAATAAACAGGAGGAGCTGGAAGCCATTATACAGCAGGACGGCTACGACTTGGTCGCCATCACAGAAACGTGGTGGGACAACTCGCATGACTGGCATGCTGTCATAGATGGCTACAGACTCTTTAGGAAAGACAGGCCAACAAGGAGAGGTGGGGGAGTTGCTCTATATGTGAGGGAGCAACTGGAATGCATTGAGCTTGGCCTGGGGGCAAGTGAAGAAGGAGTTGAAAGCTTGTGGGTTAGAATTAAGGGACAGGCTCACACGGGTGACATTACGGTGGGTGTATACTACAGGCCACCCGACCAGGAGGAGGAGGTTGATGAAGCCTTCTACAGGCAGCTGCAAGCAGCCTCACAGTCACAGGCTCTGGTTCTCATGGGGGACTTCAACCACCCTGACATCAGCTGGGAAGACCATACAGCTAGGCAGGCGCAATCCAGGAGGTTCCTACAGAGCATCGATGATAACTTTCTGATGCAAGTGGTGGAGGAACCAACAAGGAAAGGCGCGCTGCTGGACCTCGTGTTAACAAACAAGGAGGGACTGGTGGAGGACGTGAAGGTTGGAGGTAGACTCGGCTGCAGTGACCATGAAATGGTCGAGTTCAAGATCCTGCGTGGAGGAAGCAGGGAGATAAGCAGGATCAAAACCCTGGACCTCAGGAGGGCTGACTTTGCCCTCTTCAAGGAGCTACTGGGAGGAATCCCGTGGGCCAGGGCTCTCGAAGGCAGGGGGGTCCATGAGTGCTGGTCGCTTTTTAAACAACACTTCTTCCATGCACAGGAGCAATGCATCCCCCTGAGAAAGAAATTTAGCAAAGGAGGCAGGAGACCTGCATGGTTAAACAAGGAGCTTCTAGCGGAGATCAGGCAGAAGAGAAAGGTCCATGGAATGTGGAAAGAGGGACAGGCCACTTGGGAAGAGTACAGAAACGTAGTGAGAGCATGCAGGGATGCGACGAGGAAGGCCAAGGCTCACCTGGAATTGAAGCTGGCAAGGGATGTCAAAAACAACAAGAAGGGCTTCTTCAACTACATCAGCAGCAAAAGGAAGGCTAGGGACAACGTGGGGCCGCTGCTGAATGAGGCGGGTGTCCTGGTGACGGAGGATGCGGAGAAGGCAGAGCTACTGAATGCCTTCTTTGCTTCAGTCTTCAGTGCTAAGACTGGCCCTCAGGAATCCCAGGCCCCGGAGGGAAGAGAAGAAGCCTACAAAGAGGACGACTTTCCCTTGGTCGAGGAGGACTGTGTGAGGGATCGCTTAAGCGATCTGGATGTCCACAAATCCATGGGCCCCGATGGAATGCACCCACGAGTGCTGAGGGAGCTGGCGGATGTCATTGCTGAGCCACTCTCCATCATCTTTGAGAGGTCCTGGAGGACAGGAGAGGTGCCCGAGGACTGGAGAAAGGCCAATGTCACTCCAATCTTCAAAAAGGGCAAGAAGGAGGACCCAGGGAACTACAGGCCGGTCAGCCTCACCTCCATCCCGGGAAAGGTGATGGAGCAGCTTATCCTGGAGGCCATCATCAAGCAAGTGGAAGAAAAGAAGGTTATCAGGAGTAGTCAGCATGGATTCACCAAAGCGAAATCATGCCTGACCAATCTGATAGCTTTCTACGATGACATGACTGGCTGGGTAGACGAAGGGAGAGCTGTGGATGTTATCTACCTTGACTTCAGCAAGGCTTTCGACACAGTCTCCCATGATATCCTCCTGGGGAAGCTGAGGAAGTGTGGGCTGGATGAGTGGTCGGTGAAGTGGATAGAGAACTGGCTGAATGGCAGAACTCAGAGGGTTGTCATCAGCGGCGCTGAGTCTAGTTGGAGGCTGGTGACAAGTGGTGTCCCTCAGGGGTCAGTACTGGGCCCAGTCTTGTTTAACTTCTTCATCAACGACCTGGATGAAGAGTTAGAATGTACCCTCAGCAAGTTTGCTGACGACACCAAACTGGGAGGTGTGGTAGATACACCAGAAGGCTGTGCTGCCATTCAGCGTGACCTGGATAGGCTGGAAAGCTGGGCAGAGAGGAACCTGATGAGGTTCAACAAGGGCAAGTGCAGGGTCCTGCACCTGGGGAGGAACAACCTCATGCACCAGTACAGGCTTGGGGTGGACCTGCTGGAGAGCAGAGAGGGACCTGGGTGTCCTGGTGGACGACAGGTTAACTATGAGCCAGCAGTGTGCCCTGGCTGCCAAGAAGGCCAATGGGATCCTGGGGTGCATCAAGAAGAGTGTGGCCAGCAGGACAAGGGAGGTTCTCCTTCCCCTCTACACTGCCCTGGTGAGGCCTCATCTGGAGTACTGTGTCCAGTTCTGGGCTCCCCAGTTCAAGAAGGATGAAGAGCTACTGGAGAGAGTCCAGCGGAGGGCTACAAGGATGGTGAGGGGACTGGAGCATCTCCACTACGAGGAGAGGTTGAGGGAACTGGGCTTGTTCAGCCTGAAGAAGAGAAGGCTGCGAGGGGACCTTATAAATGCCTACAAATATCTGAAGGGTGGGTGTCAGGAGGATGGGGCCAAGCTCTTTTCAGTGGTGCCCAGTGACAGGACAAGGGGCAATGGGCACAAACTGAGGCACAGGAAGTTCCGTCTGAACATGAGGAGGAACTTCTTCCCTCTGAGGGTGACGGAGCACTGGAACAGGCTGCCCAGGGAGGTTGTGGAGTCTCCTTCTCTGGAGATATTCAAGACCCGCCTGGACAAGGTCCTCTGCAGCCTGCTGTAGGTGACCGTGATTCAGTAGGAGGGTTGGACTAGATGACCCACAGACGTCCCTTCCAACCCCTACCATTCTGTGATTCTGTGATTGCCACAGTGAGCTGTAAGGGGCAACTGGGATTGGAAAAAGGCAAAAATACAGAATGGTCGTGATGGACCACTGCTCTAACCCAGCTCAGCACTCCTGACGTCATTTCTTACTTCATGTAACTGAGAACTACCTTATTATTTGTCAAATCCTCCACAATCAGTTGTGATTCTGTGATTGCCACAGTGAGCTGTAAGGGGCAACTGGGATTGGAAAAAGGCAAAAATACAGAATGGTCGTGATGGACCACTGCTCTAACCCAGCTCAGCACTCCTGACGTCATTTCTTACTTCATGTAACTGAGAACTACCTTATTATTTGTCAAATCCTCCACAATCAGCCTTTTATTCGTTGGGTTTTATGTGCTTGGAATTTCCACATTCACTTTTATTCTATTCTATAATATTTCTAAGTCCTTTAATACAAATGGTGTTTTATAACTCACATGTACTTTTCTTAGTTTTGATTACTTTTTCCACATTCATGTTAATTCCAATTGGCCACTTTAACCTCTTAACATTTATGACTGAATGGCATGTACTACATTTTCGTGCACGTGAATCTGTCATCAAACAGTTTTCATTTCCTCTCAGTGACAGTTCTCTTTAGTACTTAAATCCCATTCAGCTCCACTGAAGGCTTTCTGTATTTTGCCCTAATTTGCTTTGCTGAAAAATAACCTTTTGTTTCATTATCTGGTCTAGCTTTAACTCCATAAACCAAATTAAATGGCAAACATCCTTCACACTGTACCTAACCATTCCATGGCTAGTTAATTGTTCCCATTTGTTAAAAAAGTCCTACTCATTTTCCATATATTGAGTTCACCATTTCTATTATATCAGTCTTCAGCATCTCCTAACAGTTTAAACAGGCACAACAAATATTTTCAAGGGAAGCAATAAAGGTGAGGCAGACTGGACCCAGAGCAAGGGTTTGGAATGAATATTCAAGATGTCTGGACACAGATAAGACTTTTTAGCATAAAGGAGACCCTTACCACGGAAATCTAGTAAAGAAAGTATCTGAGATCAGTGAACCTGCTTTGATGATGTTCACAGCTTGTACTTATTGATGAAGGTTCCATGGAAGGCCTTGTCCCAATCTGAAGACTATTAGCCACTTAGCAACTTGGACTATTAGCAAGTATTAGCGATTACACACACATTTTTGTTTTGATTTTGTGTGTGTGTTTAGTCTGAGGTCTTAATCAAACCATAAGAAACTCCTCTGGATGGCATCTGGAGGGAAGCCCTACAGGAATTTCTGCAGCTAGTGAGCTGCAGACCACTGAGGGAGGAGTACACATAGACCTCATTGTACAGGTGAAAGTTCTTGGCTCTCCCCCCAAATGCTTCCAACTATTGCAAACTAAGTTGCCTTTGGTACTACTTCCAGCAATTTTTGAGCTTGAGAAATTCAGTGTTATGGGAGAGAAGAAAATGTTTACAAAGGCAAAAGAAGCATTTCAATCAAGAGGAGTGAGTCTGATTGCTGTCTTTCTTGAAGGCTCTGAAGGTACCTAATCAGAGGGGAAGAGGGGATTTTGACTAAAAGTAGTGAACTGAAAGGAAGTGAAGAGTCCGAGGTCTGCCTCTGGTGGTAGATGTGGGAATGTGCATGCAAACATGTAAGAACGTAATTAGTGTGAGAAAGATGTGAGGATCTTCTGTATGGCAGAGTGAATGAAGAAAACAATATGATGGAAAAAAAAGGAAAAGGAGTGCTGCACTGATATAAGAGATCAGCAGTTGAAAAGAGACCACAAGGAAGCAAGACCCCCAAAGATTTTGTAGTGACTAAATACTACTGTCTTCTACTTTTTATCTTAAAATGAATAGATCTTTTTTTTTCATGGAAATAGACTCCACACCAATCCTCATAAATCTTTTTCTTCATCACTACTGATTTCACTTTGAAAATTCAGTCCGCCTGCAAATCAGATACAGGGAAAAACTTTGCAACATTCAAGGTCAGGCTGGACTGGGCTCTGAGCAACCTGATCTAGTTGAAGATGACCCTGCTTGCTGCAGGGGGAGTGGACTACATGACCTTTAAAGGTCCCTTCCAACCCAAAGCATTCTATGGTTCTGTGATTCTATGATTCATATTTTGGACAGCTGTATTTTTATTGTGGCTGGTCCATTTCCCTATTTTTTTTCTCCACAAGGTGGCACAATTTATATTATTTTCTTTAATAATGTCTTTTACTGACCAAAATAAGGTCTCTATTGAAATAAAACTTTCCTAATAAAAAGAGTAAATAGCACATCGATTGAAATCCAGAAGACTCTCACTACCCTCATAAATGAAATAGAGAACACATATATTTGAATAAATCCACATACCTTATTTAAATAAACTTACATATCTTATGCATATATTTGAATTCTCCCTTTACATATTGTCCCCATTTCAATTACTTCATTCATTGACTCTTAATGAGAACTTGCTGTTTGTTAAGCCAGGACTTCCAGTGCCTTGCTATAAAATGTCTTTAAAGTGAATCAAGCTAGGCTACCATTTGCTCTACAACTCCTGGAGAAATAAGCCAACACAACAGATAATCTAAAATGAAAAATGAGACTGGAAAACAGCAAAACTTTTCCTATAATATGCTTGAGATGGTTGGGCACTAAGTAACTCTGAGTGAAGCCGGGCTCCTTGTCTTGTAACAGGCAATCTTAAAAGAGAAACAGGCTGAGAACTATCTCGAGACAGTCAGACTCAAGAGATTTGAAAGGGAATATGATGAGATGATGTCGCTGATGCAGCAAGCATACAGCTTTACCAGAGACAATATTAATGTTCAGAAGAAAAGGAAGGAAACCAGACAGTCCAGTTTCTGAAAACCTCAGCCAGTCAAAGAAATACTTCAGGTGTGAGAAACTGTGTGGTAATCCCATGTTTTTTTTACCATTGGGTTTCTAACATAACCTGCAACTGAAGTCATGGGAAAGCCCATAAATGCTATATCAAGAACTCTCTTTCCCTTAATGTCGGCTTTTCCAAATAAGCTCATTCCCAAATGTTCTTTATGAGCATTATAAAGTTTTCTTCCATTATTGTAAAGTTTTGCAGAAAACGTATCTCAATGTATTGGCCCACTAAAAAAGGTTGTTCGAGGACTTGCTGCCATTTCAAACATTGAGACTGAGAAGCATCTTATAATTCATCTATTCATTCATGTTTAATTCATATTCAGAAGATGTCTGTCATTATGCAGCCTTAACCAAACACGTAGACCCCAACGTGATCATAGGCTTACTCTTGTCAGTAGTTCATCCATTTCTGTCACCAGGGTATCCAGATTTTCTTGTGCTAGCTGAAGAAGTCTCTCTGGTGCTCGCTGAGGTGAAAGCAAATGCTGTTGGGGAAGAGAGAAGGGAGAGTCAAAATCTGTATTTAATGGATCTCAGAGCTTCCAAATATTGTAGAGAAGAAGCATCAAATATTTCCTTTTCACTATAGTATGCAACTCCTTTTTGTCATTGACTCTTGTGTCACATCCAGCCCACATATTTTTCTCAGGAATCTTGACAGCTCTGCATAGTTTAGTTGAGAACCTATAAGTATGGTAGGGAAAATACAGTATATAAAATACATAACTACTTTATGGACCACCAACATGAACACTATTTTATTTGTATGCAATTTCACTTTTTATGTGCCAGCAATACAATTCCTTGCATATACATACACAAATTACTGCTGTGAGATTTATTTGTCAAAATAAGTCAAATTAAATAACTGTATATTGTGGTTTAACTGCTGCCAGCAACTAAGCACCAGACAGATGCTCGCTCACTCCTGCCCTCCCCCCTCATGGGATGGGGAGGAGAATGGGAAAAATAAAAACTCGTGGGTGGAGACAAAGACAGTTTAACAGGAAAGTAAAGTTAGAGATAATAATAATAATATATATATATACACACGTACAAAACAAGTGATGCACAAATGCAATTGCTCACCACCCGATGAACAATACCCAGCCCATCTCTGAGCAGCGATCACTCCCCCTAGACAGCTCCCCTAGTTTATATACTGGGCATGACATCATGTGGTATAGAATACCCCTTTCGCCAGTTTGGGTCAGCTTTCCCAGCTGTGTCCCCTCCCAGCTTCCGGTGCATCTGGCAGGCCAGGCCACCATGAGAAGCTCAGAAATCCTTGACTGCCTAGTAACAATTAAAAACTTTGTTAGGGTAGCAACATTATTTTTATCCCAAATCCAAAACACAGCACTACACCAGTTACCAGAAAGAGAATTAAATATATCCCAGCCAAAACCAGGATACTGTAATAAATATATATCAACCAAAACAAGTTTGAAGTAATTATATCTTTAATTTTTCATCTTCCCTGAACCTACTGATGGTGGCATGTTTGAACAGATTCAAGTACAGTTGTACTGAAGCCCTGCTATTTATGTATGTGAATACTGTGAACATACCTTTAATTCCTGTGTCATGTTCTCAAAACCATGCAACATTTTATACGGAGCAGGCAGTGGACCACTAAGGTTAACACTCAGGATCATATGGTTTAGCCGATCCAGGCCACTGAGAAGGAGTCCTGTGCATTCATCATCACAAGCTGGGGACAGAACAGCAAAGCTTATTTAGTGCTGCTAAATATTTAAGACATAAATTTGAGTTAGAAACAGTTAGAAATTATATGTGTGTTAGGGCACACACATACAATTCTGTGAGAGGTAATACTAATTTCAGATAATTTACCCCAAAAATACTGGGAGAAAAAAATGGAAACAACAACTAGGGAACAGGAAAAAACTTATTGCTTATGTCTTGGTAATGGGACAGTTTAATATAAAACACCAAGAGCAGAACTGGTATGCTTACCTCACCAAAAGAGGAAATAATTAATGTTGTCATTATGGACTAGCAAATATAAAATCCTAAATTAGACAAACAATTGGGATGAAGTCTGAGAAAAGTGGACAGATAATTTGGAAAAATTTTAGGAAGCATAGTATGGTTGTGGATTTGAACATAAGAAAAAACTAAAGAAATCTTACAATTTGCATACTTTGTAGTGACATAACAGCATGGCCAAGCATGCTAAACCTGTAATGCAGACAGTAGAAAGAGTTCAGGTAAAAATACTGGTAGTTTTCTTTTAAGAAATGCTTTTAGCTACCTCCTTTCACTAACCAGCTTATAAGTTTTTCATGTATGCTTCCTTTCTTGCAAATACTCTTTAGCATGAAAAATACTGGTGTGTGGTGCATATACCGAAAGGATTTTACATTTCTTCCCCTCTTGCTTTCTATGAAGTATCACAAGAAATTCTCATAACCTTAAACTCTTGTATCATTCATGCTACAGACAGGAAAATTCTTCATCCTTTAGAACAGAGACGTGGGAATGCCTTTCTGTTTCCCTGCGTAAAGATGCTACAGAGGACTGGCAAACCTCAACAACATCTCAGGAGATGGAGCAAACTGTGAAATAATGAATTCACTGGTGATGTTAAGAGACATGGAGGGTTGTACCTAAAGTTTTACAAGTATGTAATTATTTATTTCAGCAACACCCCTAGGCAGCTCAATGGCTAAAAACCCACCAAACAACATGTGTATTTCTGTAGAAAAAGAGAAGTAATTTTCAACAGAGCACTACATTTCTTTTTCCTGAAATCTGTTCTTCAGGTAGATTAAATCTTTTCTGTTCTTTAAAATTTTCACCGTTTTCTAAATGTTGTTCTTATTCTGTTCGTTGACTGTTCAATATAGCAAAGAGTTGAGTCAAACAGAGAAAAAAATTAATGATTACTAGTTTAATACACCATGAAACTCATGTGATGATTGAAGAAGAGACAAGATAGGTGCTGGATTAATGCAGTAAGCAGTGGGTGCTGAAAGCTAGATACTGTTATTTTAAGACTTCCTTTTGCATTTTCATTGCTTCCATTTGCAGACTTCTTCCTCCTGTTTCACAGTATTTTGTTACATAAGCTGATCTGCACTTGTTCTTCTTCTGCAGTTGTTAAAACTGTGGGCACAATACATTCTGATTTATGTTTCTATGTGAAATTAAAAAAAAAAAAAAAGCTTATTACCATCCCAGCTCTTGTCATCTATGTGCTTGCTTTTAGAAGTCTGAGAGAATTAAAGGAAAAGCAAGTTTTAAAACCAACTAAATGTTTTATGTAACAGGCACCTGTTCTGTAGCTGCTCAAGAAGGTAAATACACCTGATCATCATTTTGCAGGATGCAAGTAAGTGTTCTTGTACGTGAAGAGAATTGGGTTTTGCCGTTTGTTTTGTTTTTCCTGATACCTTATTTCACTTATGAAACAAGCTAAATCTATTCACCCTCAAAATTGCCAGTGGTTGGTAATAAAATGCTAAAACTTTGCGAAGTGTTAAAGACAAACTCAGTTCACACCAATGAGAAAAATACTGAACAGCTGATGAAGAGATGAAATATTTCAATGAGTAAACAATTGAGCATTCAGTATAAATTAACACCTCTTGCACAATAATCAGGATGAAACTACACTACATCAAGTGAGGACCACAGTTAGGTAGATGAGACAGGACTAAGCTACTCCAATATGCAGTCTGAAGTGTACTGTAGCTATGGGAAATATTTCAAGAGCATCATTATATTTCGCAAGACTAAATATTTCTGTGTCTAGCTATAAAACTGTCAGGATAAATTTGTGTCTAATATTAACAAATGCAGCACTAAATTCAGATCATTACAGCAGTGCAAGCATGTAAGAGGCAAATCATGCAATCAATATGACAATAGTCCAGCAAGCAATTAATGCAAATTACTGCGGTTTCCATTTTCACCACACTTTCCCATGCACAATAAGTCCTGTAAGGATTTTAACTTACCTCGTGAGAAGCATCTCCAAAGTATGCATGCCAAATAATTTTTTTTTTTAAATAATTGCTCAAGTAATAAAAGACACTGTAAGTTTCTGGACATCTAACCACTTACTCCATCTTACAAACAGAAAAGAAGGTACAAGAAAGAGATCACATATCTGAGCCACAATGTGTTCCTCCAACTGAGTGATTAGCTAACACAATTTTGCCTGAATAAATTCATTGTTGTTAAGATTCAAAAGACTGCATTACGAGTAGGTAAAGACAGTTGGTCTAAGGGCAACCATGTAATCTCTGATATGAGGTGGTATCCTATGATAGTCAGTGACTCTTCAGTATTAGTTTCCAGTTGCTTCACAATAAAAAAGTGTTGAACTATTGTTGGTGTCGTTGCTCTGGTCTCACATCAAACAATAAACAAGTCCTTCTCTGCCTCCCAAAACAGAATCCCCATGGAGAGCTAAAAGCTGTAGCTTCCTTGTCATTGCTGCTCACTTCAGTGAGTTTGCATTATCAATTTTTCTCCAAAATCTGGGAAAATTCAGATCTAGATTAGCATCTAAAGTACTGGCTCAGGTTTATTTCTGATTTTCATTATTTATAAAGCCTCATTTGCTGGTTCTGATACATACGAGTACTAGTTAGGTTTATATAGTGCGTGAGTTGGGCAAAAGATGTTGCAATGTGAGTCTAAACTCAACAGGGGCTCACATATCAAAAAATGGGAGAACAACGGATAGCTTGTCACCTTCTAGGCCACTTGTCACCTTCAAGGCCAAGCAGGGGTGCCCGTCCCTTATTGAGCTCATGCAGACAGACAAGCAGTTGGCCAGCACAGAGGTAAGAAGAGGTAAGTTTAACTCTTATGGCTGTGCCATAAGGGCTCTCAGCTTCTGTTAAACTCAGAACATAGCAGAAGCTAGTCCAATGCTTCATAGATCTGGTGTTACACACAGTATCTTTCCTTTCAGCTCGCTCTGTGAAGGCTTGTGATAAGAAGGTCCCAGCCCCTGTCGAACAAAGAACTATGTAGGAGTTAGGAGATGATTCTTTTCACAGATTCTTCAAGATCTGCCTCTGACAGAGGCAGCATCTCTGCTTAGTTCTCAATTTGTGAGGGATGAAATCATGGAGCTACTCCCTACTTTAGAGGGAAAACCTTGATTCTGCCAGGACCAGTGGCTAGGAGCTTCCTCGTTCTCTTGGGTGCAGAACTGAGTGGCTGGTGGGAAAAAAATCCATCTCATTGCAAGCACCAGTCTACTTAGAGTACCATATTTAAGTGACCAAGACCTGGTATTAAAGGAATCTAATTATATAATTTTCTCCTTCTACCAATACTGAAGATATTAATTCTTGAAGACATAAGTTTGTTGACTGCAGCACAGCTCAAGGTCCTTTTTTTTTCCCCACAAGACTGAGTTAAAGAAAAATTCCTAACAATGAAATATCTGTTTGATCTCTCCGTGTCATGATTGCATCCCGTTCCCTGTTAATCTTGTACAGCAGAACCACATTGACTGCTTCACATTTAGGTTTTGCTTGACCCCGAGGAACATTTGTGACGGGAGCATACATCTGAGGAAAGGTTTTGCAGTTTGTGTTGCAATAGAGTTCAAAATATTGAAGCCAAATTTTTTTTTAAGTCCCCACTGTAGTTAAGACTGGTGCCTTGAAAGCATTCAGAAGGTGAGTTCTGACTTGCCATATGTTTAACAATAAAGGCTTGAAGTTCTCACTAGGATCGTTTTTTTTCCCTAAACACTGCACAGCAGCAAGCACAGTCACTGATTCAACGACATTGCAATCTAAGGTTCTTCATTTTATGTACTACAAATTCTGCTACCGAAGTCAAGTGGAATGTCACAAGGTATTAAAAAAAATACACAAGAGAATTACTAATCTAAGAAAATTCAGGATCGCTACAGGCTTGATCCAAAACCCGTTGCAGGTCCTTCTTTCCACTTCAGCTTGCTAAGGTCAAAGCTCTTTGGGAAGGACGAGGAGAGAGCAGTATATGCACTGGCTTGTTTACATACTTCTGGTATGTATTTGTAAAATATGAATCAAGCAGATGCTAATGATCTCAGTCTGCCTGAGCATGCTGGGTACAGATGAACTGAGGAAAGGCTGCTCCTGTTCATCATACAAGTCAGCTGTGTTCTGGATTGGAACCATATATGGGGTTCAGCTAAGAAAACAAAAAATATATGTCTTCAATACTGTAGTGATTACAGGCCAGTCAGCAATTGCCAGTTGACAACTTTCAGCAGAATAAGCATTGAGATATGCATCACTCATTTTTACTGTAATAAATATCAGGGACCATCAATTCATCTGTAGTTACAAATAAAAACAAAAATCTGTAAGCATAGAGAAGATCTGGGAGAACTTTTGTCATATCTGAGAGTATACAAGGATGTTGGCAACATTATTAAAATCAGTTTGCAGTCATTACAAATTTTCTTACCGGGTACTCACTGCTTCAAAACAGAAAGGAAATTGAGCCTAAGTGGATTATCTGAGACTAAAAATTATAAGGAAGTCTTCAGCAGCCGAGTATTATGAGTATCACTACATGATGATCTAGATGGTCACTTTAGTTGGGGAAACAATCCAGTTATTAATTGTACTAATGTAAAAAAATTAGAATTTTTCTGGTGTGTAGTAGACCATCCAGGGTCTTCTATTACTTATAAAAAAATCTAGCTTTTGGATATCGTTTTCCATTCCC